ACGGCATGTTCTGTGGTTCATCTAATTGCCAGGTGCTGCAACATGAGGGGAATTTAAATACCCGCTGCAAGCAAGAGCTCTGCCCTTCCATTTATTTAGTTTGCTGGGCAAGCTTTCTGAAGGCATAGCTTAGCTGGCAAAACCTGTTCAGTTGCTAAAATAGGACCAAAAGTTTTATACTTTTCAAATAAACGTGCACCAAGACACCTTTGCATGCAGAGACGACACCAGCATCTTGACCTGCTCTGAATTCTTTATGTGATATTTGGTTAAGGCGTTTTAATTTCAGTATCAGATAAGATGTGAGTACGTAAGATGACTCAGTTTGCTTGCACTTCGACATAAAGGCCACACACAAAACCCCTTTGGCTTCAGAAAAACACTCCAAGCGCTGCCCGCTGATGCCCGCTCCACATAAGGTGCTATTTTTCATTCTGTTTATTTCCAGGCATAATCATACAAAATTAATATTGAAAATGGAGAGTAACAACCTAGGACTAAGGAAGAGATCACCTAAGTTTTTGGCTTACAACTAAACTGTATATAAAATGCCTATTTTAGATGCTTATTTCCCTAGTTACCCGACACTCATGTAGATGTCTAAAACCCTTGAAGGAAGACTTTTGTAAGTATTAGAATTATTCTGGCCTTTTTTTTTTTCCCCGAAATGAAGTCAAATTTAGAAAATTTGAACCAGAAAGATATGATGCTTCCAACCAATGCAGTGCCTACGTCCAACTTGCGTGGGAAAAAAAGGCCTTCTTTTACATACTAAAAAAGTAAATAACTGGAGATTAAGATTAAAATGAAAATGCCTATGTAAGGGAAATGATGACGGAGACCAAACCAAAGATGGAGAATAATATGACTTCCTAATGCATTCTTATCATAGCTTTGTTAAAAGCTGATCCTTATATGGTTTATGAAAACAAAACATCCCGAGCAATCCAGGACTCAAACCTGACAGCAAGATTAAACCATCAGCTGTAGTCACACATGCATTGCTGACAGCTCCAAATCCTTTCTATACTTGTATTTTTCTGCTTGCTCCTCTACTTTTTATTTTAAACTGTTACAGCCTCTCCCTCCATTTTACTTAGCAGTTATAGTGTTTTTTCTCCTTTCTATGGGACCAGTTTAAGCTTTTAAGCATTCAGATTGTTATAACAGTCATTAGGGCTGCCCCTTGGGATCTGTGATACCATTCCCCATGACACTGGCATTCATTTATTTATTTATGAAGTAGTTTCTAGCTAACCTAAATTTGGCAAAGTTTTTGGCACCTAAAGGAGTGAAGACTCAAAAGCCTCTTAAAACCTGGCCTTGCTTCCCATCTTCAAAACAGGAGCAACATCAACCTTTTTATGTGTTATTAGAATATTTTTTTCATAGCAAAAAAACTTCTCTTTCTGTGTATGTCCTTAGCAGACCAGGGCTCTCAACACAGTCTAGAATACTCAAGGATGAAGTTCTCAGTGAAAGCTGAAAGAAATTCCTCTTAAGAACAGCATCACTTTCACACTCCAGCTGTACAGACTGGTTTGATGAGCTGGAGTGTTAACTTACATCTGCATTATAAAAGCCAAGGGGGAAATAAATAAATAAAGCAAGCTTTCCAGGCTTCTCTGTACTCCTTTTTTTTTCCCTTAATCTCTGCATTTCCCATTAACACATTTTCCAGAAGTTTCATGACCTCATGTAAAAATGAAAAATCAAGCCCTTCATCTTTACGACTTGCAAAGCATAATTACGGCAGGAATCTGGATAAACTGTCCCCCAGAACACTGTTTAGGGTAGGTGGTTCATCTTCACAAATCAGCAACTTACAGATGTATTTATAGAAGCCCACGCTAAGTTACTGAGGCTGGAAATACTTCCAAAAAGCAAGCATCTGGTTTCCATCTGCCCTCATGGGAACCAGAGAAGGGTAGCTGAAAAATAAAGTATCGGGGTGCAAAAGAGCAAGATCTCACAAAGAGAGGGATATCTACCATCAAGAACACTTTCTGAACTATAGAAAGCATTTAATGTTAAAAAAAGGAAACTAAAACTGCACATTAAAAAAAAAAAGTAAAGCAATGAAAAAGACTTGCCAGCTAATCCCCACAGATTTTTAAGCTACGTTTCATATGAAGAATGAGCATGTAAAATATTATCATTTTAGTGAGACTTGTTTAAAGAATTCATATTAGAAGCATATACCTGGACATACTTTCCAACACATGCAAGTGTTAGCCCAGCTGGCAAGCGGATTTATGGGTCTGTATTTAAGCAAACGTCTCCAGGCGAGGCAGCCTGTCAACTGCGGCGGCTGCAATTCCAGTTCCTCCCAGGGCCGGAGAACAACTGCGCCCGTAAACAGCCAAGAGGCTCAACTGCCTCACAGAGGAAAACGGAAGCTTTCATTCTCCTTTCAAATATTACAGCAATGCTCACTTGCAAGCTACATGTCTCATTTGGATTTTCCACAGGAGGTGTGTGCACATTTGCCTCCATAAACCTTAGCCTTCAAACGTAAGAAGGCTTTGGGAAGTATTGCTTTAAAAACCCTCTGCAACCTCCTGGGCAAGCTGCTACTTGTGGCTTTGTTTCTCTGCTTAGTTGTTCCACCCAGGCCATAAAGATCAGGGGAAAAAAAAAAAAAAAAAACACAAATGCAAATCTGAGCAGTAGTGGAAAAGCTCAGCAAGTTACGATATTCGGAGAGTACAAACAAGGAAGAAACAACGGAAGCAAGACCTGGTTTTCAAATGATTGATGAATTTCACTTTACTTTTTTTTAAAATCACAAATAATCACACAATTTTCACATTGAATACACACAGAATCGAAATACAAAAATCTTTTTGCTGCTTTCACTCAAGCTCTTTCAGCTTGCTAAGTTTCTTCTACCAAACAGCACATGGATGGGTTCACAGAGCAAAAGCCATTTGCTAAAGTCATAACGTCCTTCCGGTTTCCTTGCTCCTCAAAAATAAGGCACCCAACACGTTGCTCATAGGTTTTGAAGGCACCAAGCAGCCAGGCCGGGACACACCTGGAAAGCATAGCGCTCAACACCCTCACCATCCTGCTGAGGGACAGGAGACCCACCGGTGCTCAAGAGGAAACCAGCAATTCCTGGGGATCACAGAATGGTTAAGGTTGGAAGAGACTTCTAGAGATCATCTAGTCCAATCCCCCTGCTCAAGCCGGGACACCCAGAGCAGCAGTAATGCCCTTGTTCCCTCCAGAACACTTTAAAACCACTTTTTTCCAAGCTTCACCTAAAGAAATACCCCAGGACATCATCTAGGCATGAACTATCACACAAGACGCCTCCCTTCCCTAGATGCGGAGCAAGGGGAGTCACTTCTGAAGGGTGGTAAGGACCAAGATACATCAGCACAACAGGAAAACTTCCCAATCAATGGAAGGACTATGACTGCTATTCACTTTTTTTCTTGTTTGTTCGGTTTTTGATAAGAAGGAAAGACAGTTCTCTCTTCACAATGACTTCAGGGGCCCAAAACACAGTCCCAAACTAGTAATGGCTTGCTGAAATTCAATAAAAGCGGACATTTCAGCAAGAGGGGGGTTGGCCCGAGTTCTGACTTGTGTAGCAGATGCTGCAATTAGCAACGTGAGGTTGTTACCTCAGTAACAACAGAGGTTGTTTTCCTTCGGTAAAAAATCTGTTACTGACTCTACCCTGCGCTATTTCCACACCTCCGAGGTTAACTATTAAAAAGAAAACATCTGTCAGCAGCATGGAGATTCAGTACAGCAATACGTTCAACGGATAATACATTGGGAAGAAATGCTCAACTATTCTTATGAAAAAGCCAACAATTTGCTAAATTGGCAGATTTCCTGGAAGTGGTTCAACTTTGTATCTAAGACCTACTTTTGTCCCAGGTACTTGCTAAAAAGCAGATTTTTTTTTTTATGCCACCAGATTATCATTATCACTCTATTCAGTTACGCTATCTCACTGCAGTTGGTTCAGGAAGTTTGTATTAGAATATACCTTATTTATTTATTTATTTATTTACAGAAAAGTGCAAAAGTATTGCAGACTTCTCTAAAATATACATTTGTGTACTGACAGGATTCACCTGAAGCGTGCCACTTCCTTAGCAAGTATATTTCTGTCTAGAATACGACACATACTTCTGCTTTTCAAAACTCTATATAGGTGTCAGCAATAGTAAACCCACTAGAATAGAGTGATGGATGAACTTCTGGCCACTTGCACTGGCTAGCCCTACTGAACAACAAAAGACTGACTGGCTTTAAAGGGAAAAAAATTAAATAAAGACCCTGATCAGCTACCTTTGCTGCTGCTTTGACTGTTGGACTTTCAGCAGCAACACTGAGTAAGACTAGAATCATAGAATCATAGAATGCTTAAGGTTGGAAGGGACCTCTAGAGATCATCTAGTCGAACCCCCCTGCACACGCAGGGACACCTAGAGCTCATGGCGCCGGACTGTGTCCAAGCGGGTTTTGAAGATCTCCAGAGGAGGAGACTCCACAACTTCTCCTGGCAACCTGTGAAGACTTACTTAAGACTAAGGCAGTCTTAAGTAGTAAGGAGAGTTTGGTGAACAAAAGCGATTATGTAGGACATGACCCCGAAAGAAGTTCTGCCATCAAAGGTGGAAGTACTGCCATCAAATGGGGAAGAGAACAGGGAGAGCCTGGGTCAGGCCTGTTGTTAATTAACACATTTAAACCTGAAGCTCAAAAAGGAAGAGGAACTAGAATTCACACAAGGTAGAAGAAGTGAAAGGAGGCTGGAAAAGATCTTTATCCACTCATAAAATTAATCTCTAGTAACTTTTCTAAAATGCTATAAATCACGACACATTTCAGATGGCAACAGCATATCTTTCAATCACAGCCACTTAACTGCACGCACTTTGCCAAACCACTTACATGTTTTTTTTTTTTTTTTTATCCTCCAAACAAGTGTTACGACGACGATTAATTTACGATTAAGGAAAAGGGTGTCTTACCTTTGCAGAGTCATGTTCAGATTGCCCGTGCACGCCTTGATCTTGTTCTGCGCCTCCAGGTGAGTCATGCCGTCCGTGCTGATGCCGTCGATGGTGAGCACCACGTCGCCTATGCCCACGTGTGCTCGGGCGGCCTTGCCGCTGTCGTTCAGCTGAAACACCACAAACACGGCGAGTGAGCAACCCCGCTGCGTCACCTTCACACTCCTGCAATTCTCCACGCCCCTGGGGAAGTCACTGCCCATCCACCACACTTTTTGGGCCAAGTCACATTCGTGCATTCTTGTTATTCCCTCACTTAAAGGTCAAGAAAAGCATTGCACAGCCTCGGTCACAGCTCTTGGCAAAACCAGGTTCCCCTTGCGCTTGATGGGCTGTGAGCTGTGCACGCTCACCAAGACGAGCGAGCAGGGCCAGGAATGCAACATTTCCTACACTCCAAATTCCTGCCTCTTATTTCTCATTCTAGATTTTCATCTAAACACTCAAAAGTTCTTGTGTTTATAAGTGACTGCTCCTGTGCATAGGACACTTCATTAATAGTGAAGTCCCCTTGCTTGAAATATTCCAGCAATAGAAAGCTCACAGTGCTGACCCCTGACTGAACAACAACTTCACCTTTTCATCTGATGCTACTGAATTTCAACCAGCTTTGTTCCCAAGGACAGAAACAAAAATGAACACAGGGAGATTTATGCACCCATTTGCTTTGCTGTTCTCAAGCTGCTGACGGCTTTATAGCTAGCTACAGAGCACAGCCCTGTATGGCACAAACTCCCTCTTTCTGTTTTTTATATTTCCTTTCTTAGGAAAAAGGAAAGGTAGCGAAGGTAGCCCCACATAGAGGAAAAAAGGGCAAGACACAAGGAGAATGAAAATAACACCAACTCAGAAACCTTCTGGAATTACTAATTTCTTAGAAATATAATTTGTGTAGCACATCATTTTGCAAAAGGCTTCAAAGCCAGAATTCTTCACAATTTGGCATACAGACTCATCTTTTCATTCAGAAATACCTGGTTGATCTAAAACCCAGCCCAGGGAACCCACCAAGGCCAGAGAAAGCCATGACTAACACAGCTATTTTTAGGATGGACCCTCAAATCTTCCGGAGGAGAAAAAAAAGCCATAAACAGTTCTTTAAACCGATGCATTACTGCATGCTGACATTTGTCAGCAGCTGCTCAAAAAGGGAATGGGGCTTAAGGGCATTAAAAACCAAAGGGCAAAAGGATCACTATGTTTTGCGATCCGACTGCCGGAGTGAATAAAACCAAGCTTTCTCGGAACGCAAATAAGCGTGTGATGAAAAAGCAGCCTAAAAAGCAGGCAAAAGCGGTTTTCTGGATGATTTATTCCATGGTGGGGGAGATCCCGAGCAGTGGTGCTCTCATCTAGATGCAGCAGATAAAGGGGCCAAGTGACAGTAAGCCATTTGGGCTAAGGGATTTGGCTGATGAGTGCAGATGAGGTTGGGGCTTCTAGGAAACGTCTGTTCGAGCAGTCGTCACGGATAATGGAAAAATTATAACGGGACTCGCAAACGTGAATCAGAACAACAGATAGGCAAAAAAAATAACATCAAGTACCTACGTGATTTACTCTATTGGTGACAATTCGAACTATTGGTGAACATTCTATTGATTCTATTGGTGAACATTCGAACTCTTTAAGGCCTTTTTACATCCTGCAGGCACATTTGCACCCCATAACCCTCAGTTTTGATATTTCTCAGGCTCTGTAACTGCATGTTATCCTCACAAGCTATAAAGTGAATAAAAAGCATCTAGCACTAAGCACAGGTGAACCACAGTCTGCTTAAAAACAGAAAGACAAGTCAACTGATGGGCAAAAGGAAAAAGAAAGAACAGCAATTAATGCCATTACCCTTTTAAGGATGAAAGCCTGACCTTAAAACACATCTTTGTTAAATGCATCCATACAGCCAAATGCAATCACTACGCACTGCAAGAGGCATGCGTGGAAGAGTATGGCGCTAAAACGACCAACTAGGCTGCCTATAAATCAAACTGCCTCCTAAGCACCACAGAAACGCTCCTCAGATGCTTGACAGGTCTGTTTTAACTCTATATTTACAACATGAGTCAAGTTTTTAAAAGCAAGCAAGGGTTGCAACTACTAAATAAGGTCTTTCTGTTAAGCTACTTTTTTCCCCCCACAGAAAGAGGATATGTTTGCATACGTATGTGTATATACAGACACACACACGTGTATGGGTAGATACACACACGTATATCACTGAATCAGTGCAATTTGTAGCTTAATTCACTCCCAATTAACATATAACTGTTTTGATTTTTCTTATGCTACTAAGACAACTTGCCAAGCATCTGTCCTTGGATCATGTCATCACCATTTAGCTCTTTTGCAGTAATAAATGAAACGACGAAATGACAAAGCCCTATGGGAGCTGAGAGAGAAATTGCCTTCCATCATTTCTGCTTTCCACTTCCCTCCTCACAAAAAAGGCCTTCCCTCCTGCTTTCACACTTGAGCTAATCTGCTGCACACATGCACCCATCAATCCTTCACCTATCTGCCAACTTCTTTTTTTTTAAAAAAACAACTTCCCTGTACCCCAGAGAAGCAATAAGCTAAATGCCCAGCAATAAATTCTGGTGCAATTCATGGATTTTACATGCAGCTTATACATTTTATTGAGGTACTGAAATAAAAGTGAAGACCTGGAAATTCCCACTGGAATTCAAAGGCTTATTCAAATAAATCAAAGTTCACACTAATGGTGGGGGGGATTTTGGATAAAAACACTGTCACCAAGACGGGATGGACAAAATCTGTGGTCCCCAGAAAAACATGATAAAATTGATTCACATTCTGATTCAAGGAAGCAATAATGTTGAAAAAACAAGCCACCAGAAGGACTAAAGGCAAGTAAATCCAACATTGCGCTAAAAATGGTATTTAAAGGATGTAGGTAAAAAAATAAATAAATAAAAAAATAAAATAAAAGGTGCCCTCTTCATACTTGTAAGTAATGGGAAATGATTTACAGCCAAGTGCCAGAACGTCTGTGGCTATGCAAGCCCTTACACCGGCAGCTTCCACTAAGCCCTCCTGCGAGAAGCTCCCGCACGCTCGGCGAGCCTCCGAGCCCCACTCGGTATTTCAACAGGCTGCCCCGGCTCCTAGGATTATCCTGCCGTCTGCAGAGCGTGCAGGACTAACCCAGGCTTCTCCCCAGGAGACTATACACCGCTGGACGGAACATGATCGCCCCGTTAGTTCTGCAGAGAGACAGAAGGAGGAAATGGAGTGAAAACAGAGCTAGAAATGTGATGCAATCCGTTCTACTCTCTCCCTCTCTCCTAAACACTTACTTTCCAGCTAGAGTACAAGTATATGTATATATATACACCCACAGACATACATATATAATATATACAGGCAAATTAAGAGCAAATTCCTGAGCAAACCCAAACTAAAGCACAGTTACTGCTCTCTATCACAGCTTAATTCAAGCAGGAAGCAGTAAAAGGGATAAAATTCAGCTTTTTCCAAAGAAATCCACCTTCCATGCTGTGAAGGTCACACATAATAAGATCTCTGCAGTCCGCATAATGGTGTACTTCCTCCCTTCCCAAAGAGGATTATTTTTATTCACTTACAGGTAATAAAATTAGTTCAACTAAGCATCCATGCAAATCTCTAACAGCCTTATTAGCCAATTACAGGTCATCCTGTTTTCATGAGGTTTTCAGGTTCTGTGATTTAATCCCTCACAACTGGATATACATTACATCTTGCCTTTCTTATGTCCAAGTGTGTAATTATTCCCGTCCAAATTATACAGAATAAGATCTTACTCTGCCTTTACTGCAGTCCAGACAGTGGAGAGAACAAAGAAATCGTAGGAAGGAATAACTTGAAAGGGACTGAGAAACAACCAGAAAATAGCCAAAACCCACTGAAAGATTCAACAGAACAGAAACACGTTACTTCTATTCCCACACAGGACAACAGAAGCAGGAATATTAGTAGGTTAAGCTTGAAAAAGCAACACCAGAGAGCAGCCAAAGTGAAGCTAACGGCGCTAGAAGAGCTCCCTTCCCAAGCCCACAGTGCTCTGCCAGGGGCAAGGAAACACCGCTACAAACTGGAAAGCCTCGTGATATACTAGCAGTCTTTTCCCTTTTTTAAAAAATCTGGGAAGAAAAGACAGGCATGTATAAGCGTGCAAGAAATTACCCACTTGCTTCAAAGCAAATGTAATTTACCTGATGATAAGCCACACCACGTAAGTAAAGACAAAACCTGAGGCAAGTTCAGGCACCGAGAGTGCTCCCTTTTGGCATAAGCCATCATGGGGTGGCACAGCTCACCTGAATGCTATTCTGCCTTTTAAGGTCAAACCCAAACACAGCAGCAAGAGTAGACACATTAGCTTCATATTTTGCCACTTTTAGAAGCTGCATATGAGGAAGCACAAAATTAGCCAATCCCCGCAGTTTGTGAATAAATCCTGCGCAGAAGCAGCAAAACAGCAGACCTGCGATGTAAAGACAGCAAACTTGTGAAGATTGCTAACTCAAATGCAACTTAAATGACAAGGGAGGGGGACATTTATGGCAATTCTATTCAGACCGGACCCAAGGACAGCGAGGCTGAAGATGAGGAAGCCAGCTGAGAAACAACAAGGGTGAGCCTGGAAGATGGTTTTTGCAATCCAGCAAGAGAACAAAAGTGCAGTCTTGCAAGCATTACGGATGAGGAAACAGCCTCTGAAGGCGCCGTGAAAGAAAAGTGTCACCAGCGCGATGCAGAAGACGAAATATTTCCTCTTTAGAAGCACGAACAGGGCCGGGAGGACAGGGCCGGGGGGATAACAGCGCTGTCACGGGTGACCCACGGTGCAGGAGACTCCTACGAGCTCCGCTGCAGCCAAGCGCGCACGGAGCTTGCGCCCAGCTTGCAGAAGCTGCTCCAGCCCCGGGCGCACGCTGCATGTCAGCCTGGGCTTTACATTGTAGGTATCAATGTGCTAACGCTTAGCACGTTCCTTTGGGCGGGCGAAAAGAAAGAGACAACCTTACACGCGCGAGGCAGGACAGATTAGTGCAGATCAACAAGCATGCCCCGAATCGCACGGGAAGTAACAGGTTAAACCAATTAC